CTTAAGCATGAAAAGAAGCTCTACGTTCTAGAAAACCCCCCTCCAAAAGCTCCTGCTAGAACTGCATCCACTGAAGTCAGGGGTGCCTTTGTAAGGCATCAGAATGACTCACTGGATGTGGCATGTCTCATGCTTGCCACTATGACTCTTGAGTTATTAAGGGATCATGAGGACATGACTGCTTGGAAAATAATTTCTTCATTGAAATCTATGTTCCAATAACAAGCCAGGCAAGAAAGGTTTGACACAGTCAGGGAATTGCATGCTTGTATGATGACTGAGGGTTCACCAGTCGATACCCACGTCTTAAAAATGAAAGGGGATGTTGACCGATTAACCCTTATTGGTTTCCCACTAAATAAGGAATTGACAATCGACTTGGTTCTAATTCCTTGCCTAAATCATATGACCAGTTTGTTATAAACTATAATATGAATGGTTTAGAAAAGTTTATCACAGAGTTTCACGGCATGCTGAGAGAAGTATTCCCAAGCTGGAAACCCCTAAACCAAAACAGGTCTTGATAATCAATACTAAAGGTGGGATAACTAAGAAAAGGAAGGGGGTAGCCAAGAGTAAAACTAAAGTTGGAAGCTCCCACAAAAACAAGGGAAAAGGAAAGATTCATGATGATGCAGTTTGCTTCAACTGCAACCAAAAGGGGCACTTGAAGAGAAACTGCCCAGCCCTGCTGGCAAAGAATAGGAAGAAGAAGGTTGACGCAGCTGGAACTTCAGGTATGTTTATCATTGATTTATTCATTTCTAACTACGATTTCTGGGTATTGGATACCGGAGGTGGTACTCATATATGTACTACTTCACAGGGACTAAGAAATGAAGAGATGATGAAACCAGGCCAAATGGAACTGAGAATGGGCAATGGAGCTAAGGTAGCCGCTATTGCTCAAGGCACATATGATATGGAACTGCCAAATTACCTTACTTTATCACTTAACAAGTGTTTATACATACCTAGCATTACTAGGAACATAGTTTCATTTTCTCAATTACAGCAGACTGAATTTATGTTTACTTTCAGCAACAATATAATTTCAGCTTATCTTGACAATGTTTTGTATTTCGTGGCGAAACCATGGAATGGTATTTCTGAAATTTATATTCAAAATAGTTATAATTATGAATCAATAGACAATGTAAACAATAAACGGATCAAGCGAGGCTTGAATCAAACCTACTTGTGGCATTGTCGTCTTGGACATATAAACAAGAAACGCATAGCCAAATTCCGGGTGGATGGAGTATTGGAATCATGTGATGATTCATATGACACATGTGAGGCTTTTTATTAGGAAAGATGACTAAGGCACCTTTTAAAGGTAAGCCTGAAAGAACTACAGAACTTTTAGGAGTCATTTATACTGATGTATGTGGGCCTTTAAGTTCAGTCACAAGAAATGGACATCGCTACTTCATAACATTTACTAATGACTTTAGTAGATACGAGTATGTTCACCTAATGAAAAGCAAATCTGAAAGTTTTGAAAAATTCAAAGAGTTTCAAAATGAAGTAGAGAATCAACTTGGCAAGAAAATAAAAGTACTTCGGTCTGATCGAGGTCGTGAATATTTAAGCTAAGAGTTTATTGAACAGCTAAGAGATTGTGGGATAGTATCCCAACTATCTCCTCCGGGAACACCACAACATAATGGTGTGTCCGAAAGGAGAAATAGAACCTTGTTGGACATAGTTCGCTCTATGTTGAGTTGTACCACTATGCCAAAGAGTTTTTGGGGATATGCCCTAGAAAAAGCTGCCCGAATACTAAATAATGCACCAACCAAAAGGACCGAAAAGACTCCATATGAACTGTGGTCTGGGAAAATCCTAAAACTGTCTTATATGAGAATATGGGGTTGTAATGCTTATGTTAAGCAAGAAGCTTTTAAAAAGCTTGACCTGAGGTCTAAAAATTGCATCTTTGTGGGATATCCAAAAGAGACTATTGGATATTATTTCTACAAACCCAATGAGAACAAAATCTTTGTTGCACGACGCGGTGAGTTCTTAGAAAATGATTTTTTATCAAGAACCACAACGTGGAATACAGTAGATCTTGAGGAAACTCAAGAACTACAAGATGAGACAATGGTTGACCCTGACCAACAACGAGATGATCAACCTCAACAATCTGAAAATCATGTAGGAACTGTCTTGAGCCTGAAATGTATGGTTATCGTATTGGAAATGATATGGTTCATGATGAACCAGTTACCTACCAGGAAGCCGTATCATGTTTGGAATCTGATAAATGGCATGATGCCATGATGCCATGAAGGCCGAAATACAATCCATGGCAGATAACCAAGTTTGGAACTTGGTAGATGCACCTGTCGGCTACAAAATCATAAGATGCAAATGGGTATCCAAAAAGAAATCTGATATGGATGGGATTGTACATACCTATAAAGCTAGGTTGGTCGCAAAAGGTTTCACACATAATCAAGTAGTAGATTATGATGAAACCTTTTCTCGAGTAACTATGATAAAATCGACCAGGATCCTACTTGCCATAACTTCATATCATGACTATGAGATATCGCAAATGGATGTTAAAAACCGCATTCTTTAACAGATCCTTAAGCGAGGACGTATACATGGTACAACCAGAAGGTTTTAAACATCCAAAGTATCCTTGTAAGGTATGTAAATTGCAGAAGTCTATATATGGACTAAAACAAGCATCTCGTAGTTGGAACCTTCGTTTTGACGAGAAAATCAAAGAATTTGGTTTCATAAAAAACGAAGATGAATCTTGTGTATACAAGAAGGTCAGTGGGAGTATAATAGTATTCTTAATCCTATATGTCGATGATATACTAGTCATCGAAAACAACATCCCAACACTTAAGGAAGTAAAAACATGGTTAGGGAAATGTTTAGCGATGAAGGATTTAGGAGAGGCAACATACATTCTTGGCATAAAGATCTATTCTGATAGATCTAAGAGGTTAATTGGATTAAGCCAAAGTACATACATTGACAAAATCTTGAAACGCTTCAAGATGGAAGGTTCCAAGAGAGGAAACTTGCCAATGGTACATGGCATACAACTGAGTAGAACTCAATGTCCTAGTACTAAAAAGGACATGAATCGCATGAAGGGTGTTCCCTATGCTTCAGTCATCGGTTCAATAATGTATGTCATGCTATGTACTAGACCGGACTTATCGTATGCCTTAAGCATGACGAGTAGATATCAGTCAAACCTAGGTGATGCTCGTTGGGTAGCAATAAAGAATATTCTGAAATACCTGAGAAGAACTAAGGATATGTTTTTACTGTATGGAGGTGAAGAAAGAGATTTGTGTATCCAAGGTTACATAGATGATAGTTTCCAGACCGACCGTGATGACTTTAAATCATAATCGGGATATGTGTTTGTGTTAAACGGAGGTGCTGTGAGTTGGAAAATCTACAAACAAAGAACTATAGCAGACTCAACTACAGAATCATAGTACATTGTAGCGTCAGACGCCGCAAAAGAAGCTGTTTGGATGAAGATGTTGATCCCAGATCTATCAATAACACGAATATTCAAGTTATGAATAACCTAAATATATCGTGTGTATGAAAATAGTGATGAACAACTCAAGAATATTCAAGAAAATATTTGAGTGTCAAATGATTCACTATTATTGAATTGAATGATATTGAAGCGTAAACGATTACAAGAAATATAAAACCTATTTAAACTAGTAATCTAAATAAGGAGATAACTATCTATGGAAGATATATCACAAATCTTCTTAAGGAAAGATATCAAACAAGAAATATGGAAACTATATCAAACTAAATAAAGCAATGAGAATCCAACTGTCGATTTGTCATCTCCAGTTGTCTTTTTGAAGGCGTGTTCAACCATGAGTCTTTGAGTCTTCTTGAATAAATACCTCTGGTTGAACTGTTGTTGAAATTTCCAAATGTTGACCAGAGGGGTTATGGAGATGCGTTGTTCATCGTACCTATGGACCTTCATCGCATCTCTGGTTGTATTGAACACTTAGGATTTTTCGTTGCTAGTCTTCCATCGAGCTTCTGTACTTTCACACTTGTTTGTTTTTCATTACTTTTACTAATAGGAATGATGGGGTCTAACAATCTCCCCCTAAGTAATGAAAAAATAAACAATGACTAGTCTATATATAATGAAAGAATAACGAACAGAGACTAGTCTAATAGAAACATCCTTTTTGCCAAAAAATTTCATTGGTAGAATGGTTGGATGATTTCTTACAAAAACTGAAAGTACATAATAAAATATATCACTCATGGTCTCCATTGTAGATATTCCAAAAACGCGTCATCAGTCCTCTAAAGCGAACGACTGTGGAGATACCATGGATCAATTATTGGCCTTCCTTCATCGGCACATGCACTCTGCCTAGTCTCTCTCGAATGACCCTCTGAAACCATTCAAGTGTATCAGTTGAATACTTGAAGGCCTCAGTCAATCTGAAAAACTTTTTAATTCCATACTCGTTCTTGAAAACCAAGTCGAGTTCTGGTAGAGTTAGGACCGATGCAGAGCGCTTCTCCTGTAAGTCTTGGAAATCTTCATTTGGAGGTGTGCATGATAGTCTTTCAATGCCTAGTTCAAGAGCTATTTGGGAGTCATTCTTAGCTCTGAACTTCACCAGGGTCCCCATCGTCTCTACAATCGCTCTATTAGCCATCCCGTACCTTATCCCTTGATCCTGTTGCTGACCTGTGTGGCCATATAGATCGATCAAGTCCCATGGATTGAGATTTATAAGATCATTGTCATTGAAGACGTTGATCATCCCATGTGCATGCTCCACGGTGTACTCGATGTATTTGATAGCTTTGTTTGCGAAGGTCCGCATCTTGATGTTGAGGACGGTCTTGATTCCATTGTTTGAGAAGACGGCTTGTGGTAGAGAGGTCGTATGTCTCATGAATCTGTGACGAAACAGGTCCATCGACTCAGGAGATAGGTTGGGAGGATTGAGGACCAACTATTCATCGCGATCGTGGTAGAGGTATTGATGAATATTCTCCATCATCAAGGGTTCCCTTCGAGGCACTGGCGGACATCTCCTTAACGTTTCCATCTGAGAGACGATTTCTTCGAATTTGTCTGTTGTTGGAGCTTGCCTCGATGAAGAAGGAATATCTACATGCACCTTCTGGGTTGGTTGGGTGATGGATGGTTGTGGTTGAACTGATAATTCTTGAACCTTATAGCGTCTCATGTAATCCTGGCGCCGAACTTCCAACCTGACACCTCTCAAAGCTTTTTTCACCTTAATACGTTCTTGGTTTGAGAGTGGTCTTGTTATATCTTTGTTGAAAAATTCTGATACAAACTCAGAAGCCAACGTTGGTTGATAAAATGCCCGGGCTGACATATCTACATTGAGTGAGAGTCTCATTTGGGTTGGTCTGAGACTCTGATAAAATCCTTTCCAGAACTCTATTCCATCACCAAGGGCACCGTGGCCAAATTCACAACTAAACAATGATCTCCCAACTATCTTACGACCTTGAGAAGCAGACTCCCTCAATATGACGTCAAGAGCTTGGATAGTCTCTTGTGGACAATCAGGCTGCCTGCCACTTAAAAACTGCTTCAGATGGTGAACGTCTTTTCTGGCAACAAATTTTATAGTGACTTTGAATTCGCACTCCCGCCCATTGTTCTCAACGATCTTAACTACAAACTCTTTAGATTCAAAAGGCAATGCCCTTGCAACAAATGCACTTTTCTTCCCATCATATGCCAACAACAAATTTCCCAAGTGTGAAGCCCGATATGACTCGATAAGAAATTTCATGATTTCTCTACATTTAATCTTCGAAGTAACCTCAGGAGCAATTGTCGCATCGTAATGGTGCGGATCCTTTTGCCCGATATCAACAAGAAAATGGTTTTCCCTAATAACACATTTTCTCCCAGCAGTTCCAAAACCATTCCTAGTTGGTGCCTTAATCATCCTCGAAGACGAAGGCACCAACGGTACAGCCTGAGAAGGAGCCATTGGCGCTGCCTGTTGCTGCGAGGCTACCATCGCTTCCGGTGATGTCTGAACAGGAAGATGCTGCATTGGCTGTTGGCGAATTGGACCTGCCACAGTAGCCGTAGCAACGACCGGTTCTAATGTCGTTGTCGATGAACCTATCACAAGATTTTCAAAATCTCTCACCATCGATGTCTGTTGAACAGCAACACGAGGACTGGGTTGTCCAACATTTCCTCTTCCAATAATATTCTGAGAAGAAACCGGCGGTTGTTGTCCACCACCACGACGCCCTCGTCCTCGTCCGCGACAAGCACAACCATCCATCACCCAACCAACCCAAAAGGTTCCTGCAGATATTCCTTCTTCATCGAGGCAAGCTCCAACAACAGACAGAGTCGAACAAAATCGTCTCTCAGATGGAAACGTTAAGGAGACGTCCGCCAGTGCCTCGAAGGGAACCCATCATGATGGAGAATATCCATTAATACCTCTACCACGATCGTGATGAACAGCTGGTCCTTAATCCTTCCAACCTATCTCCTGAGTTGATGGACTTGCTTCGTCATAGATTTGTGAGACAGACGACCTCTCCACCACAAGCCGTCTTCTCAAATGATGGAATTAAGACTGTCTTCGACATCAAGATGCGGATCTTTGCAAACAGAGCTATCATATACATCGAGTACATCGTGGAGCGTGCACATGGGATGATCAACGTCTTCAACGACAATGATCTTATAAATCTCAATCCATGGGACTTGATCGATCTATATGGCCATATAGCTTAGCGACAATATTAAGGGATAAGGTATGGGATGACCAACAAAGCGATTGTAGAGACGATGGGGACCCTGGTGAAGTTCAGAGCTAAGAATGGCTTCCAAATATCTCTTGAACTAGGCACGAAAGACTATCCTACACACCTCTAGATGAAGATTTCCAAGGCTTACAGGAGAAGTGCTCTCCATCGGTCCTAACTCAACCAGAACTCAGCCTGGTTTTCAAAAACGAGTATGGAATTAAAAAGTTCTTCAGACTAACTGAGGCCTTCAAGTATTCAACCGATACAATTACACAGACTTTTTTCAACTTTTTAATTCTTATTGATTTATATCAAGAATTAATACACACAGAAATACAAAAGATTGTTACGGAAGATAGGAAAGGAAAACCTAACCTAAACAATCTTACAAAGAGAAGAACTTTCAAGAACAATACAGAGAGTTCTTGATAGGAAATGAAGAACACTAAGAATTTCTTCGCACACAGGAGAGCAAGGGAGTAGAAGGAAATAGCCGATTGCTTTGAGAGTGCACTAAGTAATCTTGCAAAAGCCAAGTGTGTGTATGGAAGATGCACACTGCCTTTTTATACTACCTTCAGCATTTAATGCATGGGGACACTTGTGACTTGAGGATAAGAAGGCAAGGGTTGACTTGACCAATGTTGATATCTCATTTTCATCGTACACAACATGCATACAGCACAGTTCATGCAGAGACAAACTTACACAGTTCATGGAGAGACAAACTTTGCAGAGATATGGTTAGTCTGTAGAAAGATCTCCTTTGGATGAATATGTAGCTTCAAGCAGCTACACACAAGTCTTCGGTTCCATGGAGATTTTCAATCTTCAGTCCATGATCTTCAATCTTGAGTTCACGAAGATTTTCAATCTTCGGTTCATGATCTTCAATCTTGAGTCCATGAAGATTTTCAATCTTCGGTCCATGATCTTCAATCTTGAGTCCATGAAGATTTTCAATCTTCGGTCTATGAAGATCTTCCTTCAATCGGCTTGTAGCTTCAAAATATTTTCAGTATACATTTAAGCTACTTCGGAGTCTTGGTGTGTATATTAGACAATTGATCCACAACACCGCATCGGTGACCTTCTGTCTTCACATCGGCTAGTCTTCGATTTTGCCAATGGCTTTAAGTATGTAMCAAGACACCAATTTACAAAGAACCAATAACTACTAAGTGTTGCTAAGGTAGAGGAACAGATCAGTGGGTCATCACCAAATCAATAGGTGACCCAACAATCTCCCCCTATTTGATGATGGCACAAACACTTAGAAAGAAATAAATACAAGAAACACAAACTCTAAAATTCTTTGAGAARAAGAACTTATAAATTATGTGACCCATGTACATATTCTTTTTGGGTTCTTTTCTTTCCTTTTTTTTTTTGAACTATAAACGTATATACAAACAAATAATGAATCAGAGATAAACAAATAAAGAATGAGAAATTTAAAGAAAATATTGAAAAATCAAATTGCAGTTATACTAGACAATGAATTAAATACTTACATGAAGAAAGTAGTTCAAGAAGAAGAAGTCACATAGGAAAGCTAGCAATCATCGTCTACTTCCATAGCATTTGAATCAGCCACTGCAAGAACATCTCTTCTCTTCAGTTCATCCGAGATCAAAGTGTAAAAGACTCTTTCGGCTTCACCAATTTTGATTACACTCAGTATCACGCGCAATAGYTGAGAATCAGCTATAGGTATCTCAGAAGCTCGAAAAAATCGAAGGCAACTACTCGCGTCCCAGAAGAATATTCCATGCTCAGGAGCGGACAAGATAGTTCCTTCCGGATGACAAACATCTGAAGGAAAGGTAAGATCAAGATGTGAGACATCAGGAGCCTTACCTTCCTTTGATAATTTATGAATAAGTGAGTCTTGATTCTTGATGGTCTTCGAGGCAGAAGCAGATTTTGAAGAGCCAGCTTTACTTAACACTTTCTTAAGAAAGGAGAGTTGTGGAGGGGAAAACAGCTTGTAATGCATCTTGATCATTTGTATCTTTTTGAGAAGGCGATACATATGACTCAAGACAAAGTCCTTGTACATACTTCTGCTTTTATTAAGAAACTTGATGATCTCCATCCACTCAGTAAGACCGTAGGAATGGATCCATGACAGCTTTTCTGTCCTCACTGCTCCGTTTTCTCGACCAATAATCAAAAAGATCATATTGGAATCATAGGTCAATTTTTGAGGACCTTTGATTCTGGCATTGACAATTCGACTAGTAGTGTAGCGTCGGAGAATTGAGTCATTAAACCATTTAATTCTTTTCTCTTTGGTTTCTTCAGACTCAGATCGTGGGACCAAGGAGTGAGATCTGTTGGCTTCCTCAAATTGCTTTTGAAGAGAAATTGAGTTGGCCGCATCCTCAGAAGAAATACCTAGGAGATGAAGATCAGTTTCTTGAGGACGTGAAGCTTTAAGCACAAGTCTGTCGGCTGCAGGAACTTCAGATTGATGACTAGCAATTTTAGCTGCTTTAGCTGCAGCAGCTTCTTCATCTGTGGTCATGGGTGCCTTTCCTTCTCTGTAAGTTGGGACTAAGTCCCCAGAAGTAGTGGGAATATCATCTTGAAAAGGTATAGTACCAACCTCAACAGATACTGAAGGCATAGAACATGGTTGCTCCCCCTCAACAGGTGCTGTGGCTCTATCATCATGAACAAATAGCTCCCCCTCAATAGGAGCATCACCATCTGACTCAGCTGAGGATGAAGAGGTAGAAGAAGTAGAAGCTGAGTTGTCGTCCCCGTTGTCACTGGTAGCAGGATCAACTGTCTTCTCCCCCTCAGTGGGAACAAGGGAAGGTCCATTAGCAGGAACAGAAGGACCCTCCACATCGGCAGGTGGGGAAGGCACAGAAGCAGTAGCACGAGGAAAGGGAGCACAGGTGGCATGAAGCAGACGTGAGACACCGTGATGAAGACCGCCAAGAAGAGCATAATCGGACTCAACATGGCGACTGACTTTGGCTAACATGACCCTGTCCTCTTCCGTGAACTGAGGTGGACCCAAGTCAACAGTGAACTCTGTATCTCTGGCTAAGAACAATTTGGATATCTGAGTCTGTGCATCCATCTTGCAGTGAAGATCAGTCAGAGATTGAAGAATTGCCTGATTTGTGGCAGCTTGACTTTTCGATCGAGCACGAAGATCAGCGACAGCTTCAGATATGCTGGATTGAGAATCAGATAGAGCAGTCATACGAGCATCCAGAGAATCAACCGTAGCTTTAAGAGCAGAGAAGGCAGTGCCATGATCTGTCAAGGCGGCACTGTGCTGATGCAGTTCAGATGTAACACAGTCCAATCTCCCAGATAAATCAGTGCTGAGGGAGGCCTGTTGAGAGATGAGGAACTGACATTGAGATGTGAAGCCTCTGAGCATGTCCACCACCTCGGTGGGTATGGCATAGATCACTTCAGGAGGAGAAGGAGCTGAGAACTGGAAGCCTGGTGCAGAGGGGGTCTGGAGGGAGAAACAGCAGCTGGAGTAGGAGAGCAAGCTTTGATTGGGCTTGCTGACCCACTTGGTGAAGAGACACCAACACTCTTAGTACCATTGGCGCCCTGAGAGTCACCGATGGGAGTATCACTGATGTTGGCGTAAGGCTCAACATCTGTATCAACGATATCGGCGTGAGGCTCAATATTTGTATCAGCAACACTGGCGAGAGGCTCAGTGTCTGTATCACCAACACCGGCGAGAGGCTCGGTGTCTGTATCATCGACACCTGCGTGAGGCGGGTCGCCGATTACCACTGTAGTAGATGTAGTAGGCTGGTAAGGCTCACTATCCACATCTATAAGAATAAACTGGAGATAAGGGATGTCAGTATCAGATAAAGCTGGTAAATCATCCATCCGTGCAATATCATCAAGATCATCGATCTCGGGTGATAGGCCATGAATAAGTGGAGGAGAAGAAGGACCTCGAAAAAGGGAGGTGTCCGAGTCATCACCAAGGTCATATAGAGATGCCAAGGTGGAGTCAAGTGGG